ATCCACCGAGAATTGCGGCGTCAAAACACCAAAGTTAGGTTTGTGATCGAGCTGTAGTAAGTGCTCCGGCAATCAATCAATTCCGACCAACTGTTTCAGTTTTCATTAATTAATAAGGTTCTTCTTGGAAAGAGGATTTAGAATAAAACCTAGCACTGGTTCACCGACATAGCGGTAACACCATAGCCCTGTGGAGATGCCAAACATTATCTGATTTCCATCGGTTCACTAGGATCGTTCATGCTGTCTGTTAGCCTTCAAAGCAACTAGCAAAACTTCATTTCATTTTGGGTTGATTGTTTGACTTCTGTCATACGTTTTCATTTTCTGTTAGATAATTTCTTATCCTGTGCTTGGTCAGGTTTTATCTAAATATACTTACGAGTTAAGCCAAATTCGTGTTATCCATGTGCTCTAGTAGGGGCTTCAGGGAATAGTTAACCTGTCTCACAGTTCCCGAACCTTGTAAGCTTCCATTTGTAATGCTAACCAACATATGAATGAAGTGTAGGCTTTCCACAGGCACGGGTGTTCTGGGTCTCCACTCTTGCTAGGTCTCCACCTCAGTTCAAATGGAGTTAATTGTATCTATCCAAATTCTACATTTTCAGAGACGAGGCGTTAGTATTGTGAGTAACCTAGCCAATGAGGAGATAATATGCAATTTTGACCATGTTATAGCTTGACGATTTGTAATATTTAACATTTCGTAATATTAAAGCCCCTACCAGCCTTTCTGTTGCATGTGTAAAATATAGGAGTTTCGACAATTGCAATGCCAATAACGTATTTTGAAATGGGAACCTCGTGCCTATAGATGGAACAGTGGCATCAATGATCAATAATTCATATACCGGAACAAGGTATCACAGTGGATTGCTTGAGTGAGTGAGTAAATTTGGTTCAACGCCACTATGATATACTACCGCTACTGATATACCAACCAACACCCCAAGCTGCATATAACATTGATTAAATCAAATCAAGGCGTCAGTTTAGTTTAGTAACACTGGTTGAACACGGATATTACGTTCAACTGAGAGTCATGACCGGAACGATCTTGGATCCATACCGAAGGCCAACGGATCCTCTCGTGGCTAAGGTATGTAACCCAACAAGTAGTGGCGACCAGGACAAATGGGTCTCTTGTCACATTGACCCACTTTGTGAAAGGGGTTTACGAGCAAACGCTGAACCCACAAGGTTATTCCGACCGAAAGATATAATACTGTGCAGAGCGGCGTCCAATGATATAATACTGTGCAAGACGGTGTTCGGCTCAACTCCCTCACTAATACACAATGAACATACACCAGTGACGCAACAACCTTGAATACTGCCCATTAAACAAATACTTCATGTAAAGACTAAAGAAGTAAATGCTTGACACTCGAGCTCGCTTCACGTGAATATCGCAACATTGACAACAGGTCACGCAAACAAGGGAGGTAACTACGTAAGGTGCAAAATATCTCGTCACGTAATGAGGTGTGACAAACTGGTAGTGAGGCTGAATTATTCATAACTGTGAAACACGTATTGACATCTAGCTGAACGGTTCGTGTTGTGATGTGAACAATGAAAACACATTTTTCATACTGAATGAAATCGAGGCGTGAAAATCCTGTCCATAAGCATAACAAATTCTTTGAGAATTAACAGGCCTTTGTTAATGAATATAATGAATACGTGTTTAAGAGTCGTCCTCAAATAGTGACTTATCTAGGTGAGCGTATCCTGTGATTCCTGTCCCACCGGTGTCACATGTCACAAATGCAAATACCCCACGTGTTCACGTTAACAAACGCGGTAACAATATGCTGCATTTCAAAATGAGGATTCTCATCGGACATCACTTTAGTGGATGAGGTTTCAAATATTGAAACTTTCTTCACGTCAACCATAATAACTGTTACAAACCTTGACCTAGCCCATGAATACGGAAACTTTGATCAACCAGCCATAGGGCTTGAGATCTTAGTATGAAGCTCTTGAATTATTCGTAGAAAGGGAATTACACTTTGTGTGAACTAGATAATTTGTAAGCGATTAGTTTTACAAACGAAATTTCATGTACTGTGTATAGGATGCAAATCAATTTAACGCCCATTCATACTTAACTTATTTAATATTTGAGAAAGTAAATATTCTTTTCCTGGTATTGTATCTGGGCTTTTTAAAAGTAATTTATAGAATATTATTTTTATAATTAGCTCACCTACATGCGGGGAGTTATCATGCTGCCAAAGTCGGCTTAATTCATTGTACAGAGTTGCATCCCTTAGCAATGAAAGGATCCTCTAAGCTGGAATCGAATGAGCTCCGATTTATGATCCGCCGTATGCCAATACCATAATATGTTGTAAATGTCTGACATTAGCATTGCGGTGGAAAGGTAATCTGTTCAATAGGTTAAGAAAAACTAACCCACAAACTCCGTAGGTAATTTAAATAACCATATTATTCTACAAAATAACATGTTCATATCCCATTGTTTGTGAAAGTATCAATAAACCTAGACACAAAGTGTCATGACATAAACACGTTTGTTAAAGTAAAACGTTCTGTATTATTATCAACAAGGTCTCACGATTATACGACTTTTAAGCTGCAAATATTAAATCTTTCACTTACTAAATCTACTTAACTGATATCATAAAAGGTTAAGCAGTCATGCTAGGATGTGAAACTGTTTAACCCTGGCCTCAAAACATTTAGACTTTAATCCCTGATTTCCCTTGTCACTCTAGGTCTCTACATTCAATTGATATTTCGCGACCTGATACTGCCACTAAACAACCCCAACTTTATTGAATTCATTCATATTAAAGCAATTTATATGATTCAATATCTGGCTCTCTTGTCGAATAGTGTCATATGATCTTCGTCTCGCGTCCATAAAGGTCAACCAAGGCCACTTGTGCTCCTCAACATATACTTGAAGTGCTGAACTCAGAGAAAGTTTATTCTGTCATATACCTCAAATGATAAACGGCAATGAGTGAGTTTAGTTTTACACCGCTTTTAGCAATATTCCAACAATATCACGGCGGGGGACACCAGAAATAGGCTTCACACTGTAGATAAACTACAAAACCTTCCAAGATAATAAATGTATGCACATAACGAGTATCGAGTTTTTCATCACTGTTATGCTAATGAAGGGGTTGTTCTCCTTGTATGTACGATACAAACATCAGAGAGTATAATATAATAACGACATTGCAGGTGTACAATGTTCCTAGTACATGCCAAGAATCTACCATTATGAGTTCGAATCCCAGCTCGTCCAGTTCTAGGTTTGTCGCCACATAACCCGCGCTTGTGGGCTTTAGCAGAGCGGTACACGTCGGATCCCTCATTGAGGTGTCCTGGCGGTGGGGTAGACTAGTGGTTAAAGTGTTCGCTCGTCACGCCGAAGACCCGGGTTCGATTCCAAACATGGTTACAATATGTGAAGCCCATTTCTGATGCCCCCCGCCGTGTTATTACTGGAATATTGCTAAAAGGCGGCGTAAAACTAAATTCACTCACTCATTGAGCTGTCATACCCTGGAATACTGTTGAAGCGCCCTTGTACTAAACTAATTCATTTGGACCATAATCGGGTCTGTTTAGAATATACTCGAATCTAAAATTAAGACGAATCCGATCTCAAGCCAAAAGTTACTCATTATACTTAATCTATACTTTAACAATACGATTCCGTTGTTATCATGAATACGTGTAATAGAATCACTATCTGACGGTGATTAAAATAGGCGCGTGTCCTGTCATACTGAAAGGAGAGAATATGTCTGTGAGAAAGAAAATATTACAGCTTAGAAGGAAAGTTGGGTAACCCCATCCCTCAAGGAATACAACTTCCCGTTCTGGTGTATGTTCTGGACCATAGTGCTCTAAATGTGAACCCATATCAAGCACACAGACTTTATTCCAGTAGAACAAGACCCTTTAACGTCTAGTTCTAGATTCAGTGTCATCAGACCGGAGATAAGCTCACATGGTAATGGAGAAATACTTTCAAAACAAAACGTTGAAGAGTGCCGATATCATATAAATCGTTTGGCTTTGACATTTGCTCCCATTAGAAAGGATAAACGATGAAGAAATGAAAATCTTAGTAAATGTGAAGACATGTGTACATCAGAATTATTATGTCCTGGCTGTACAGACAGATTTGGACACAGTGCAGGTTCTAGCTCATGTAGAACACCGAGGGAAATCTTTGATGCGTCGAATTTCAGGGCGTTATAACATATATCCTCCTCATTCGAGGTTTATACAGCTACAGTCAGCTCTGGCTGCAACCGTTGTGACGAATTATGGAGTTAAACGAAGTAATAGAGTTAATTAACTAAATTGCCATGCCTGTGTGTTTTATTGTTTGTCTTGACTGAAACCTGATTATCTTTAAGCAGCAGTGGGTATATAAGAGCCAGTCATGAACCAGCATCAACATATAGTGAGTGAATGAGTTTAGCTTTACGCCGCCTTTAGCAGTATTCTATTAATATCACGGCGGGGACACCAGAAATAGGCTTCACACATCGTACCCATGTGGGGAATCAAACCCGGGTCTTCGGCGTGACGAGCGAACGCTTTAACCTCTGGGCTACCCCACCTTCCCCATGAACAAATAGAATGTGCTTGTAAACTGATAACACATATGTTTGTGAACTGAACCTCTTGCACTTTCCGAATTCTTTTACAATGGAACATGTCGTATGTACATAACTAGATACCGCAGATACTGTTATTATGACCTTTCAAAGTGATGACGATGTTTATCATCAAAGTGTGAATCGGTTCAAGCATCAGTTCATAGTGGGCATCATTTACAGGACTGTTGAGTGTAAAGAATCCATGTTCACGTGGTAAATCGTGTTTCTTATGAGGGAAAATGAGCAAAATTGCATTTTTTATTTTTTTTTATTTTATGGGAAAGTATTTCTACATACTTTCAATCTCAGACACGCCACATGTTCCTACCTCACCCCATGCCACGCCACGCCACGCCACACCTCACCGTCACACGCCACGCCACACCTCACCGTCCCACACCACGCCACACCTCACCGTCCCACACCACACCACGCCACACCACACCTCACCGTCCCACCCCACGCCACCCCACGCCACGCCACACACCACCGTCCCACACCACGCCACGCCACGCCACGCCACACCTCACCGTCCCACCCACGCCACGCCACGCCAAACCTCACCGTCCCACACCACACCACGCCACACCACACCACACCTCACCGTCCCACCCCACGCCACGCCACCCCACGCCACGCCACGCCTCACCGTTCCACACCACGCCACGCCACACCTTACCGTCCCACGCCATGCCGTCCCACCCCATCCCACGCCACGCCAAACCTCACCGTCCCACGCCACGCCAAGCCACACCTCACCGTCCCACACCATGCCACGCCACGCCACGCCGTCCCACCCCACGCCACGCCACCCCACACCTCACCGTCCCACACCACGCCACCCCACGCCACGCCACGCCACACCTCACCGTCCCACACCACGCCACCCCACGCCACACCTCACCGTCCCACCACGCCACGCCACGCCACACCTCACCGTCCCACACCACAACTCAATACAACACATTAAACCTCACGGCCCGGCACAACACATCACACCATACAAACACCACAAACACACCAAACACTTAATCTTACCATCCCTCACCACGCCACGCCACGCAACGAAAACACTACAACACACACAACACACATACAACACATAAAAACACCACATTGTCACCCACACCCTCACCCGTCACGTGTTCAACTTCACACTCCAGGCCCTATTCCCACACTATTACATATGTCCACAGTGATATTACGGATCATTTAGGAAAACCGCTTTAAAACGCATCAAATTCCTTCTGTGAAATTCCTCATTCCTCATAACTGCTCGTGTCTGTGACATTACTTCCACTGCTGTGCTTATTCCAAACCGGCGTAAATGCCAAAGGCTTGTCTAAATACCCATCATAAATGCCTGTAGATATGAAAATATTACATTACACTCGTATCAAACTCGTAAAAACGGGCGCTCTACAACTGCCACGGATATGTGGTTGAAACGCGAGTCGATTTCCAAGGCTACTTGTAGTTGTGTGTTCAGTGTCTGTACAACATAAACTCAACTGGCATCCTCAGAATGACAATGTCACTATGACATAGAATAATATCCTACTGGCAGTGTTTCGTATCAATTATGTTAACAATAAATATTAGAGTTCATGTACACAAATATTTACATTAAGTATATTAGGCCCTATATATACTTTGTATCCCGATTTATGATTGTATTTCAATGCATTTCATATTTCTATTTGCATATCATCCTAAAATAGGTATCATCAATACACCACCCGAAGCTAATTGCTGAGTATTAATAGTTAGTGGCGATTGGAACTCAATAAGACTCGACCTTATCGTAACTTAGAAAGTTTCAACCAATGGCGCGTCCTGACCCGTCACGAGCCTGCACTGACCAATGGAAAGGAGGATTTGACACATGCGCGTGCAGGCAGTGTGAGATCGCACGATCACTTAAAGAGAAACGTCGAGAGCCGACAGGCGATATGATCAATACTTCACAAGCTCAGTCAGAAGCCCTGTGCCATCAGCTGAGTCGGTATACCTCATAACGGCCTGGACAGGACAGGTTATAGTGCATGCCTCGCGCTGTTCACTGTTGACACATAGAGTAGTGACACGGCCGTGGGGATGAAGGATGTACCCGTGGGGGTGGAGACGACATGCTGTCTGACTCCCAGGTAAGATCTACCATAATGACTAGAATGCATTTGTGATGGACGCTGATGGTTAGATGTACGTACCTGTAGCTGATTCAGCGTTGACTGCTACAGGTGTTTGGTCTCTCTATGACCTTACCTACAAGGTTGGTGGTGTTCATGCTCGAGATGAAGCACTAATCAAACGTTGTTGGGTTTCTATTTATTATATAGTTTAATTATGTATCTACAGATATAGGTATTGTTGTTTTTATGTTTTTTCTTTATGTGTGTTCGTGTTAAATATATGATACTGATTTTGAATATTATAGTTATGTCATTGCTTCGTGATTCGTTATCACCGTCCTTGTCGCTGGTTGAGGTTGTATGGGAGTCGCTATGGTTGTAACAGTTCAAGCAGTAGCAGTAGCCGCGGTTATAGAAGTTGTAGTGGTCGTGGTTGTAGTAGCGGATTTGTACAAATTGTGAAGTGATGATGGCAGCAATATCAGTGGAAATAGAAGTAGATTAATGATAGTCATTATCAGACGTCGCCAGTAGTAGTAGTAGTAGCAGTAGTAGTAGTAATAGTGGCAGCAGTAGTAGTAGTAGTAGTAGTAGTAGTAGTAATAGTAGCAGCAGTAGTAGTAGTAGTAGCAGTAGCAGTAGCAGTAGTAGTAGTAGCAGCAGCAGTTGTAGTAGCAGTAGTAGCAGCAGCAGTAGCAGCTGTAGTAGTAGTAGTAGTAATAGCAGTAGCAGTGGTAGTAGTAGTAGCAGCAGCAGTAGTAGCAGTAGCAGCTGTATTAGCAGCAGCAACAGTAGTAGTAGTAGTAGCAGTAGTGGTGTTGTTTGTGGTGAAGTTGGTGTTGTTTGTGGTGATGGTGACGTTGGTGTTGACGTTGGTAGTAGTAGCAGTAGTAACAGCTGTAGGAACAGCAGTGGGCCTAGCAGCAGCAGCAATAGCACATTTTGTGACTTGCAGAACGTCGTTGAAAGTGAAGCAGTATATGTAGCCACAACAGTTTCAATAGCTGTCTCGACATAAACCAGAGCAATTGTTTTCTGGTGTGATGACCTACTACACAGACACCGCGCTCCTCAACACGTCACCATAAATATAAGTTATGAACATAAACGTATGATTATTCTGCCACAGTGTTGTAGGGAATAACGGACCTGAAAGTGATTATTGGCTTTATCATCACAAAGATCGATTAGGTGCTGCACGAAGGTCTGTAGCGTTAGTCGACACATCGATCTACAGGAGTCACGTGCACTGATTAACACGTGTGTGCGAATCTACATATGCGTGTAATTTGATCTCCTTCTGTGTTTTCACATCCAACGTTTACGACATAGTCTGACACACAATGAAAATGAATACTGATAATGTTTTCGTGTATCAGACAAGGTGTTTTCTGCTCATCCCGAAGCACATCAAATGAGATTCAAACCCGAACGACGATACTGTATTAATTATGACGTGTCCAGTAAAATATTTTAATCTTGACTATTGATACAAACATCTGAATATGAGTTTTTAAGTTGTTATAATATTTGTGTATTTATTATTATATAATGTTAACGTCATGTTGTTATAAATACTAACATGGCGTTACATATGTCACATACCTTGCGTTAAAGTGAGTAAAGCCTGAAAGACCTGCATAAACCGGACTACTGCAGAATCTCGTTAGTCGGGACGTTATTTTATAGCTTATCCTTGTTAAACAGCTATCAGCAAGTTATTATGCCGTATATTCAGTCGAACCGGGTTAGAATTGATCTCCAGTAACCCATGTCTGTCGTAAGAGGCGACTAACGGAATCGGGTGGTCTGGCTTACTGATTTGGTTGACACATGTCATCGTATCCCAGTTGTGTAGATCGATGCTCATGCTGTTGATCACTGTATTGTCTGGTCCAGACTCGATTATTTACAGACCGCCGCCATATAGCTGGAATATTGCTAAGTGCGGCGTAAAACTAAACTCACTCACTCAATTATATTCAGTTTCTATTCTTGAGGTCGGTTGTCTGAGGCGCTACAGCCCGCTAGTTTAGTTACGGCTTCGGATCCAGATTCATCACATAGTACACACTATACTGGGTTTTACGTACCCTCCTGTCCCCACCCAAAATACCTTACATCCCCATGTTAAATACAAAATACTTCCCGGGAAGAACAGGGTTAGAATTGGTCTTCGCTTGTCGCAAAAAGGCGACTAACGGGATTGGGTGGTCTGGCTTGCTGACTTGGTTGACACATGTCATCGTATCCCAACAGTGATGTTGATCCCTGGATTGTCTGGTCCAGACACGATTATTTACAGACAGCCGCCATATAGCTGGAATATTGCTGCATGCGGCGTTAAACAATAAACCAACCAACCAAATACAAAACTTCTGTACAAGCGGCTTTTGATACCATTATTTTGTTAATCATTAAACGTATTAATTCAGTCCCAAACTGTCAGACTCATTGCCCATGAAGTTTTAAAGACAGAGTTCTACCCTTAATCTCATGCGAATTGCTGCAAAGTTCCTGGTGCTGCGGACCCGTGAAGATCCGGGGTAGAATAGGTCTTCAGCAACCCATGCTTGCCACATTAGGCAACTATGCTTGTCTTAAGAGGCGACTAACGGGATCGGGTGGTCAGGCTCGCTGACATGGTTGACACATGTCATCGGTTCCAAATTGCGCAGATCGATGCTCATGCTGTTGATCACTGGATTGTCTGGTCCAGACTCGATTATTTACAGACCGCTGCCATATAGCTGGAATATTGCTGAGTGTGGCGTAAAACTAAACTCACTCACTCACTCCTGGTGCTGCGATACGCAATATTCATTCACTCACTACCTAACATCATTCACTAGTTCGGAACCCAAAAAGTATGTGTTCACATTAAACCATATATTTCCTCGTTAAAACGTCTATATCGGCAGTAACGGTTCGTCCACTTTAACAAGGTGGCACTGTGTCGATGAGTGTAAATAAGTAAAGCGTGTTCTAATTATAAAACGGGGCTTCCAAAGTACTCTGCAAATTGTTTACCGATAATCGATTACTTTGTTATAGATGCGTAACTGTTTACCCATGTATGTCGACTTAAAATTAAATTTGCAAGAGTAAAGGAAGATTAAACTGTTTGCGGTGTCGTATTTGACGTAAGCAAGTTAAAAGGTGGATCGTTAAAATCTGATCCTATTCAGGTGTGCAGAATAAGGCTATCTATAACACATCCATTTTGAAGAAAATTGGAAATACCTCGTTGCTGAGCTGAACTATTAGAGAAGGTGTTCTTCAGCACATCGCTTTAGAGTGAGTGAGAGAGTATGGTTCTACGCCGCTTTTAGCAATATGCCACCAATATCACGACGTCGGACACCAGAAATTGGCTTCACACATTGTACCCATGTTGTGGGGAATCGAAACCGGGTCTTCGGCGCGACGAGCGAACGATTTAAGTACTAGCCTACCCCCACCGCTCCTTTACATGGATGACCTGCTCACACACAGTATACTGACGCGGAGGACTCAGGTCCTTGTTGTAATCCGGGTGTTCAGCGTGACGGCTACCCCACCGCCCCTCGTTATAGAAGCATTAACACCAAGAAATCCTTTACCCTGCTACCGGGCAGGCTGGACATGCTTACCTTTTTGTGTGAACATCTGGTGTCATCACTGGATTTCATGGATCTATACACACCTGTTTTGCTCTTTACACCCAATGGACTCTGTTTCGCCAAAATCGAGACTTGTTATTTTCTGTCTTTGACATTTCATTTATATTGTATTTTTACCCACAAAAAGGTCAAACAACGATCTTTCGTCACTGTGATGCCACAAGCTCAATATGATCATTTGAAGATTAAAAACGTTACACAAACTGCTAGAACGTACACCCGCACTTGCAGTAACCCCAAGGGTTTAATCTTAAGTAGCTTTCTTGTTATTCCTGGAATTAAAAACCGTAAATATGACCGAAATGGACAATACTACGTACGTCACAGTAGGAAGACTATAGAATAACACTCCCTGCTGTTGTCGGGCGGACTATTTCAAGCCTATTAGTTCTAGCTTGTGGAATAAAATAATCGCTTTTATTCTATTTTATTCATTTACAAAATCATTTTCCTCCACGGAATTTTCTGGCTCTTTGTTATTATATGGAAAGCTGCCTTTGTCTCATGTGATGACGCCGCGAGACAAACGTTTTTCCCGAGACTTGAAACGCGTGACGTCACCAAAGTAATTTCCAATACATAGCTTCTACTGTATACGCCTCGGCAAGCGATCTTTGTGCATACCTATTCCTGATTCAATATAAGAAGTTACTCAAACATGTTGTGTTCAAGAAGGCGGCGTGCATGGAAATAATGCATTTAAATAAAGATTTTCTATTAATTAGAGAAATATTTATAGATGATTTTGAACGTTGAATCTTCAACTGAATCATGACACATTAAGTGTGTTCAAGTCGTAAGTATGTTGGTATAAGTGAGTGACAGAAGGTTTTTATTCAAGTTTACTGATGTATGTACATGCTGAGTCTGTGCGTTTGCGTATGCGCGCGGGTTTGGTGACCCTGGTGGGTGAGGAAAGCGAGGTGCGGGCACGGATCATGATTTTTAGGTTGTCACAAAATACTATTTTTATATTTTTATTTTCTATAGTTATATTTTCATTTCTATTTTTAGCGGGATGGTGTGTGTGCGTGTGAGAGAGTGCGTGCGTGCATGCGTGCGTGTGTGTGTTCTCCGTAAACCGCATGTTTATGCTGGGGCTTCCAAAGCTGTACGCACCCCTATACCACTAATCTATAATTGCATCTGCAAGTTCATATTTTCAGTTAAAGACAATATATTTACATCAAATATATGGAAACTTACAAACTGAATCAGTAGCACCAGGAAAGGTACTTCGGGTCATCTTTAAGATCCCACGTTAAAGCTTGCCCAATACGTCACCAGTGGTTGGTTAACATCAGCCATTCACCAAAGCAATCATTCGTCAACAGTTCCACTGATACGTGTACA